TTATGTTTTCTTTGTGAAACTCTTTTTCAAGTTAATATGCAAACTTTAAAGCAGCTTTTATAAGACCTAGGCAGTTTATCAAGCATATAAAATCCCAAAGCTCCAGGTATGCTTCCTAGTTGAGAATTTCTCTGAACTTTGGTTAGACTGTGTTCCAAAGGAACACTACTTATCATCAAAATCATACAAATCAAGTCAGGAGTGCTGCATCTGAGCTAGATGTATGTCTGTTCCATTGCAAAATTCTTAAACTGGTAGAGACTGGAAGACAATAAGGTGGCTCATTTCATGCAGTGCATTGGGCTGAGAGGTAGACTTTGTATCCCTGTGGTTGGAAAGTTCTTAATCCACAGCAGTTCCTTGTGATCATATGGCCATCCCTTTGTCTAGCCAATAAGCAGCCAGCATACTGTTGAAAAGGCTGGGGTCATTTTGTTTCTTCTACTATTGGAATGTAAGTTATTGCCTGGAATTTAAGCCATTGTCTGTGTCCAGTGATGTAGGATCTCTTTATAAATTTACTTTCAACTTGTAAAGATGACTGTGGTCTAATTTTAAGATGACCAAAATCTGCTTGGCAAATCAGGGCTGTGGCCAAGAAGCGTTCTCTGCCAGTTAAAAACTGTACAGGCAGCTGTTAGAACTAGTGTGTTAATCCCTCATCTCTACTAGATCATCAATCTATGATGCACAGTAGTGTCAAACTTTGACAGGTTACTTGTTGACTGTAGTGTGATTTGGGTTTTTCTAAAAATCAGATAAAAATATTAGCTTAGTTTTCTACTCTACCATCTTTTGTTTTCCCAGTTTTGACTTGCCTCATTATACACCAGTTAGTCTCTTTGAAGAGTACACTTCTTCAATTGCATGCTCTTGCATCTCAGGTTGGAGGCATCATTGGAAAGATCTTGTCATGAAAACAAGGTTTTGCAAATGAGTCAACTTTCAGTGTGAATATAAGTATTGGGGGAAGGATTTTGACTGCTGTAACAGCAATTAAACACTTCCTGTCATGAATAAAAGCTTAACTTGAACAAGACAAACTCAAGTCAGACAGTCTTTGACATGTTGGTCTTCTGTGGCAACGTAGAAAATTTGGGAGCAAAAATATGAGATGTGGCTTGTTGGAAAACCAAGAGATGGTTTTCATGCTCCTGATTCTGAGAGGTTACAGATTTCCATTTAATCTCTTTTTCTGTACTATGGAATAAAACACAGACAAACCCAAAGAGGGAAGAAAGATTAATTTTTGTACTTCTGGACATCATCTGACAGCTTTTGTAGGACTATTTAAATGAGTCATTTTCCCTTTATTTATCAAACTTAATAATTTTGAAGAATTCATTGCATGTGAAAATCTAATGTCACTGCTCGGATGTTCAATTCTGTGTCCTGGATGTTCTGTTTTGGTTTTGAGGGGAGTGATTTGGTCAATTGCAATAGATTAAATCATTCATGTAGGTAATTGAACCCTTTCAGCCCATTTTATTCAGAGATTTTGTAAACAAATAAATTGGCTTTCTCAAACAACAATGTAAAAAGGCATTTTTGCTTTTACTAAATAGATTAAGGAAGCAATTAATTGTTTAAGATGTCTTGCCCCTAGCATTTCTTTGATGTTTATCCTGTAATTGTGTCTCTTTTTGATCTGGTCAGCTTAAATTTGTTTTGTTGTGACCTTTTGGATAGGGCTTTTATGTGGATTGGAATTACATGCATACAAACAAAGCTTGAATACTTCTGTCCTTTCCTCTTCTGGTGCTGGGGGGGTAGTGGTGGTGGTGGGGAATGTATTCTTTGCACTTGCTGCTAAAATAGAAGGAGAGCTTAAGGTATTTAAAAACAAACAAAAACAGCCAAACAAGCAAACAGGACCCCCCCCCAAAAAAAAAAAAAAAAAAAAACAAAGCCCCCAAACCAACTTGCCTATATCAGAGTTGTGGTAACTGGAAATGGTGTGTTCTAACACTTCAGTCCTAGATGTTGAGTACTTGCTTTCAGAAGCTTTAGAACTGCTTGTTTTCCACCAAACTTGAGGAAAATGAAGAGCTCTGGAGCTCACTGCCACATTTTTGATATCCAAATGGGATTATTCTAAACCTTTTTGAAACTGGATTTAATAGTTGAATCCTATGACTTGATACTTGCTTATCACTTCTGACCTACAGCACAGTAAACAAAGGTTTATATATTAGAACTCTACTCTAGCAGTGTGTTAATATGAACATGGCTGTGAACTAGCTTAGTAGAAAAAATTTCCTTTTCCAGAGTGCCTTAATGCCTGCCCAGTTATTCTTCAAGACAGAAGATGGGAGCAAATATCCTGTAATTTTTAAGCACGGGGATGATTTACGTCAAGATCAACTTATTCTTCAGATTATTTCGCTCATGGATAAGGTGAGTCTTATTGATGCACATCCATGTCCTTCTGTGTTCTTGATTTTCCTTGTCAAGAGTAAAACTGTAGACTGTTAAGAAATGCTAATGCAACTTTATGTCACTAATATATCCCAGGGTTCTCAGATTTTAGGTGGCATCTTTATTTTCTTTGCAGGCATGCAATGATCCTGTGTAGATTTAAAAAAAAAAAAAAAAAAAAAAAAGAAAATTAAAAACAAAAAATAGGCAAACAGGCTTTCACTCCTGACTAATTTCAGTGAAAAACAGTGGAGATCAGTGTCCAATACGCATTTCTTTTAGAAACAGAAACTACCTCTCTGTTGTGTTCATCTTTCTTTTGTGTGTTGTTTTTTTCCAGCTGTTAAGGAAAGAGAATCTGGATTTGAAGCTGACACCCTATAAAGTCCTGGCAACTAGTACAAAACATGGTATGAATGCTTATTTCCTGAAAATATAGCACTGGGGGGAGTCTTCTCCCTCTATTTGTAGACTGTGTTATGACACACTATTTTCATGGAAAATGTTTTGCTTAGTACAGCATACTAAAATGGGGCTCAAATACGTAAGAAAATCTTGTTGCAGTAGAAGTCATGGAAGCAGGCAATGTCAGAGACCTCAGCATTCCATAGGTGACTAAAATATCTTTGTAGAAGAAGCCTGCTCCAGAGTTTGGCATGTGTGACATTTGGTAGTCTTACCTTTGCTGATAGCCTGTTGTGTGATCTCAAATAACTTTTAACACTCCTATTTACAGATCTTTGCATGAAATGGAAGGAAAAGATAAAACAAAATCAATCGTGGCTATGCTTTTAAATACATTCTGGATAAATATTTAGAAATCCACTGATTTCCTTTCTCTTCTCATGAAATTTGGAACAACGGACCTATTGCAAGCCAATTTGTTGATAATGATAAATTGTTTTAAAACTACTGAAGGCAGCAAATTGGGACAAAACATGTATTTTTGTTGATGAGAGACAGTTGATAGCCGTATGTTTTAGCATTGTGCTTTGTAGAGTAGCTTGAAAGTTCTGTACATTGGAGATTTTCTTTTTTTTTTGGCTGTTTCCTGTCACAGGCTTCATGCAGTTCATTCAGTCAGTACCAGTTGCAGAAGTTCTTGCTACTGAGGAAAGTATACAGGTATGTGCTGGGGGATTTTTAAGTGGTCTTCTGATAAAACAGAATAAATTGCAGGCTTGGATCTCGTACAAAAGTCTTCAGTCTCAACACAATTTTTGTATCTATTGTTAGAAGACAAATTACAGTGTGAAACATGATATTTACAGCAGATATTTTGCTTTTAAAAGCATACTTAAGTCACTACAAGTCCTAAAAGTAATACCATTAAAATAATTAAAGTGTAGTTTAGTTGTGTTGTCAAAATTCTGGCCTTGCTGTAATGATGCATGGAAGATGCATGACACTTTCCTGTGCTGTTGTTTCAAAGTGTTGTTTCTGTTGTTCATTCAGAAGTTTTGTTCATGTAATGTCTGAAGCCTTTTTCCCTGTCCCAGTGGTTGTATAGATACTGTGTAATTTTATTTTTGTTTTCCCCTTCCCCTTTTATTGCCAAAGTTTCTGTAAATCATGGAGTAGGGGCACACAACTGAACAGTGGCACACAAAATTCATGCCAGTTTCAAACACGGCACAGAAGCTAGGTAGCAGAGCTCAACCAATTGAGAAAAATATAGTTAGTTAAAAACATACCAAATTGCCATAAGAGAGATACAGCTAATATTTAATTTATTTTTTTTTTATGAAAACACAGCATGTATATGTTGGATTAAATTTGTCACCCTGACACTTGTCCCTTTCTTGTGGTTGATACTGAAGTTTTCATTTGTTCATAGCCTAGCAAATAGTTCCAAGCTTATTGTAAGCTATGTATATTAAAAAATACAGAGATCAAAAAATGCTTATCACTTGTCATTATCATTTGCTTGACAAATAAGCATATCAAATGCTTATCATTAATCAGACCATGACCAAGATCAAGCTGCACGTTTGTTTTGATCTTTCCATTCCCTAAAGATTGTGACAAACAACATTTACCTGTTCAACGATCATACAACTTGTATGTTTTCTTATATGTTTTCTTGGCAATCCTTTGTAGTTTCTAAAATGTACTATTATATTTTTTTTTCTAAATAAGGCATTTTGAAATGCTTGTGAAATTGTTTTTTTGTAATTACTTATCATGATTCAATATGAAATAGATGCCCCACTGTTTTAATTGCTGTGCAGATGTAAGGAGAATCTAAACAGACAAGATTCCAAAGGAATGTGGTCTAAGATTACTTTACAGATCAATGGCAAAAAACATTATAAAGCCCAGATTTCCTGTGCCAAAGCATGATAAAATGTCTGGGCATTGTAAACCAAGGAAATAAAAGCTAAGTGCTTTTTAAAAATTTTTAGGGGTTGTGAAAGTTTGGTTTATTCTTTTTGTAAACGTTCATTTTGGGTGTCGCAGTTGTTTTAATAAAGATGGGTGCTGTATATAAATAGAAAAAAAATGTTTAACTCATGAAAAAAAATGTAAAACCAGTAATTCAGTACTGGCTGATAAAGCAGACCTGCAGGTAGGGGTGTTTTAATATTTGAAAGCTACTTTCTTTCTATCAGCAGTCTTGAAATTGCAGTTCATTTTTTGGAGGTACTTCTGTTCCACACTGTAGAGTTTAGCATTTGGATAATCTGAAGCCTGTGGGGTTTTGTTTGATTGGGGTTTTTTGTGGCTTATTTTTTTTTCAATACAGCATGTAAAATTTTGGAGCACTGAAAGCAGGTCTCTTTAGTACCCTGTTAACCAGTTAAAATTTCCCTTCTACATTTTGCTTATCAGTCTAATTTAACAGAATCTTTCCATTCTGTCATTTTTTTTAACATATCTGAGGAGGACTTTTTTTCTCTGATAATTAAAAGTGTCTTCAGGCCTTAAAACTCTGATATATATGTTACAACAGGACTGCTTTTCAAGTAAAACTTTCTTAAATATCTTTTAGATACCTTCCTTTAGCACCTCCTTCTGTTTTGTAAGATTGCCTTCATTTTTTTAATTATTATCTGTGTCCCTTATACGTCATCCAGATGCCTATAAAGTTCCTCTTACAGTGCTTGTTTAGATTTGTCTTTGCTTACTGGAAGAAACTTGTGCTAAGGCTTAGATTTATGATAGAATCATAAAGTTGTTTAGGTTGGAAAAGACCTTTAAGAGAGCATCCAACCATTAAACTAACTCTGCCAAGCCCACTGCTAAACTATGTCCTTCACACCACAGCTACACGACTTCTGAACATCTCTGGTGATGGTGATTTGGCTGCTTCCCTGGGCAGACTGGTGTAGGGCTTGGCAACCCTCTTAGTGAACACATTTTTTCCTAATATCCAAACTAAACCTTCCCTGGTGCAATGTAAGCCCATTTTCTCTTGTTACTTGGGAGAAGAGAGAAGCACCCACCTCTTCACAACCTGCTTTCAGGGTGTTGCAGCGAGCAGGGTCTCCCCTGAGCCTCCTTTTCCCCAGGCTAAACCACCCTCAGGTCCCTCAGCCACTCCTCAGAAGAGTTGTGCTCTAGACCCTTCCACACCTTCCTTGCCCTTCTCTGAACACAGTCCAACACCTCAATGTCTTTCTTGGAGTGAGGAGCACTCATTCCTGGAGTGAAGGAGAGGAGCCTGGAGTGTTGTATGGTTTTGTTCTGGCTCACGTACAGGACCCAGAATTTGGCCTTGTTGAACCCCATCCCACTGGCCTCAGCCAATCAATCCATCCTGTCCAGGTCCTTGTATACCTTCCTGACCTTCAAGCAGATCAACACTCCCACCTAACTTGATGTTGTCTGAAAACTTACTGAGGGTGCCCTTCACTCCCTCCCTCATCTGGATCCTTGATACAGGAATGAAACAGAACAGGCCCCAGCATTGAGCCCTGGGGAACACCACTGGTGACTGGCTGCCAGTTGGATTTAGCTCCTATCCCCACCATCTGTCCAGCCAGTGTTTTACCTGTTGAAGTGTACACCCATGCAAGCCATGAGGAGTCAGTTTTTTCCTGAGAATGCTGTGGGAAACAGTGTCAAAGGTTTTGCTGAAGTCCAGTCAGACAGCATCCCCAGCCCTCCCCTCAGCCAGCAGGCAGGTCATCTTGTTACAAAGTGAGATCAGGTTAGACAGACAGGACCAGCCTTTCATGAACCCCTGCTGACTGCCTCAGTCAGAGAAACACAGTCTTCTGGGCTGTAGGAAGGACTGTTTTGGCCCTACCCACATTTCACAAAGAATTTGAAGTTTCTATTTTATATCTCGGATTTTCCTTTTAAACTCAGTAGTGGTTGGTTGTATTGAGTAATATGGGGACGTATGATGATGACAAACCTTGTAAGAGTGTGTGTCCCAAATATAGGTACAGCCTGTTTTAGTTTTAGTTGATTTGGCCTAAACAGTTTCCTGTGGAAGTATTCGCACTAATCGTTGTTAACTATTAATTTTTCAATGCATTGTTAATTTTCTGAAACTTAATAAAAAAATCCTACTTTTCAATTGGAACTTCATGTCTCTTTCTCTTGAGTGTAAGAATGTGATGAATAAGAGAGAAAATAAAGGGATATAAAGCTACATCTTGGAACTGTATTTTGGGAGTGTTTTTTAGCTAAACAGGTTGTAGAATTAACCATTTGTAGTCTTGATTTAAATCTTTTATTCTACTAATTCTAACGATCCTGTTTCAGGTCATGTGGAGTAACTAAATATGTTGATTAATTTCACCTCCAGAACTTCTTCAGGAAACATGCACCTAGTGAGACTGGTCCTCATGGAATAAGTGCAGAGGTGATGGACACGTACGTGAAGAGCTGTGGTAAGTTGCTGTCTTAGGGCTGGTAACTTCATATCTGAAGTGTGAAGGATAGATAATGCCTTTTATGTTAAATGCTTTAATAAAGGAGTTACTGAGACATTTCAGGTTAGATGGCTGCAGGTAGGGCACTGTGTATATACTTGCTGTATAATCCCTGTGAAAAGAACAGTTTTGAGCCTGACATGTCATATGGAATTTCTCTCTTCAGCCCTCTTCTTGTTTTCCTCAAAGGAGGCTAGAAGTTAAGATTATTGCTAGAAAACAGAGTATTTACCTTTTACTGCCCCATATGATGAGTTGGGATCTTTATAATGCAGGGAGATATAAAACATTTATATAAAAATAAATCATCTATATTTGAGGTAGAGAATTTTAATTTGGTTTTAAAGTGTTTGGATATTTTTGAATTGAGACTGCATTCAACTTCTTGTTCCATTTGGATGACAAGGAAAAAGTGGTACTGTAGGTTTTGTTCAGTAAACTGATGACAATATTGAAGTTCCACATTTTGCTGTCCATTACATTCAAAGCAACTTCATTCCACAAAAAATAAACTTTAGTGGAGCTGAATTGTTGCTCCACATAATCTTCTCCTTTCCCCTTCTCTTTCTAGTGGCACAGTCTGTAGAACTGCTTCAGACTGTTCTGGTTAGTGGGTGGAACAAAGTTTGCTAGTTGTCACTGCCTGTCATAATGCTTAGCTGTGAATGCTGCTGACGTGGACGTTCAGATTCGTGTTGTTGTCCAATGCTTGTTTACAGTTGCCCTAAAACACCCTCATTTCAAAATGTGTACATTCATTTTGCTCCAGATACTTCACAGGAAGATGAACTTATCATAATCCCAATACCGAATGATTTTAGACTTTCAGTGTTAGGAATATAATTGTGTAGTAAGAAACTAAAATCTAGGCTGTACTGAAAAAACTTCAGAGTTTTAATTTATTGCTTCAAAATTCTCCATAGTGTCGATAATCTTGATAATTCTTTGCCAGCACCACTCCTGCCCCCAGTCTCTGTGGAGGTGTTTATTACTGGTGAACAAGAACAAAGATAATCTCATGTGCTGTTGTTAATTGTGTGGAACTTGTTGCTCTCCAGGAAAGGTACTTATACTGATGGTTACAATTTTCTTGTTACAGCTGGTTACTGTGTAATTACTTACATCCTTGGAGTTGGAGATAGACATCTGGATAATCTTTTGCTAACAAAAACAGGTAATTCTTTTTAGCAGTATAATTTTATAACAGCAGTTGTTTAATATCTAACCTGTTGGTACTGTTTTGCTCCATTTTCATTTACCCACTGAGACGGAAGATTAGAATGTATTTTTAAATGTCAAGTTACATTGTCTCATCCAAGGTAATATTTGATCCAGTGAATCCAAGTTTGGGCTTAAACTATAAAGTAGTGTGAAATGGCAGTTGAAAAGTAAGGTAGCAAGTAGATTAACTGCTCTCTAAACACATTAGTAGGCATGATAAGATGTAATGTGTATTTTATATGTGGTTTTGGTATCAGTTTAAGAGCCATTTAGGCATCTGTAAGTAATGGAAGTCTCACTTCATCTCAACACAGATGTGTTTATAAATGCTGAGGTTTCTGAATAGTTTTCAGTTGGCTTATTTTACAGTCCTGTGTTCTACCATCACATTTTATACATTGAAAGCTTAACTTGTAAGTTGTTTTTTGCTAAACACAAGAATAGCCTTGAGTAATACTATTATTTTTTGGTAGTACTGTGTACTTAGTATGTGGTAAAAGTTGACCAAGAAGCATTTCACTGTTACTTTAAACTTGGTTGTCATCATAATTAAGGGCTTTTTTTTTTCAGAACTCTTGGTCCAAAGCTGAAAAAGGAATCTATTTAAAAAAGTATTTGTAAGGTGACCTCAACCCCACATATCCTAACTGTTCCTATCAAACCTCTTTATTTTTTATTAAACTAATACATTCCTTTTTAGTAGCTTTTTTTAACATGATATCAGAAATTAGGTTCAAGATAATTGTATGCCACTTGTATTTTAAGAGTTGTCAAATAGTTCTGCTTAACATTTATGAGTATTCATATACAGTTAAGTATAGTCTTGATTACTTCACTGCAATGTCTCTGTGACATTGAGTTCTTGTCTCAGATTTTACCTTTTTATACAAAGTGGTTCTGTGAGCTTTCTAGGCCTGGATGTTTTTCTGAGAAATTTACATAGTGTGAACCAGCAGTAGGAGTGGCACACAAGACCTCTCTGAGGATTCACTTCAGCATTTTATGTTCCTTAAGAATCTTGTGTTCCTGATGGAACACAAGACAGGAAAAAGCCAAGTGTTCTATCATCTGCCTAACTGAGCTGGCTGGACTGTTCAGCTCCAGGTGAGATTATATGTATTTTTTTAAGATGCCACTAAAAACAAAGAAGTAGACTGTTTGGTGTCATGTTCATTACAAATTCACAGCTGGAGGAGAGAACGTAGTAGAAGTTGATGTTTAATCAAGTGCATCCTTTAGTTTGCAGCAAAATCAGTGAATCCTGAAAGTTCAAAATAGCAGATAGGATTTTGATTCTAACTTGTTTTAACTTGCCTAGTGTTTTCTGTTGCAATCCTTATAGGTTAATAATAAACAAAGAGTGAATAATTCTAGTGGTTCAAAATAAACAGATTTCTCTACTAGAGGAAATGAAGGATTTTAAAATTAAGCTGCTTCAACTACTGCAATCAGTGCCTTGGGCTGGAGCAAAATTCAAGTGTTTTTGTTGAAAATGAGCTTGTGTATAGCTTCATGAATTTCACAAAGTTTTAGGAAACAAAAATATTTCTTGTACAAGAAAAAAATTTGGGAGTTTGTGTTGGTTTTACATGCTTGCTTACTTCCAAAGTACAGCTTCCCATAGGTGTTATGATGCCTTAAATACCTTTGTTGCACAGTGATGAAGAGTTATGGTTAAGTATATTGCAATAAAGTGAAATGTTTATTGAATGGGAAATGTAAATAAAAGTTATTTGGGAAAGAGACATGTCCACAAGGAAGCCTTGTTAGTTCACAGTTGAGACTGAAGCATGTATTACTTTGAATCAACAAACTGTATGAAAGAGTAGAAAATTGACCAGTGGGCCTGGATTAGGGTAAAAAAATCTTGCTCTAAGCACATTGGGGAACAGCTGAAGCAAATGTAGTTTTCCTTATCTGCTTGGAAATGTACAAATAGGCGTTTAAAAATCTGTCTGCAGAGGTCTCTGTCGGTTGTCTGAGGTGATGGGTGTAAAACATCCCACAGCAGGCACTGTTACATGCTCAGGGCAGTAATTTTTTAGTGGTTTCATTTAGGGTAGGGTGTGTCTTACAGGTCTGTGTTAAAAAGTAGCAGCAGCACAGCGGCTGTTTGGCTGAGTGGAAGCAGAACAGCAGAGGGCAGTGCACACCCACGGTACCTTCCCAGTCTGACACTGTCCTGCTGCTGCCCGTGCTCTGTCACATTCCTGAGCTATCCCGAGAAGTTTGTGTTCCAAATGCAACAAGGACTTGCTACAAAGGCTTGTTTCTTTCTACTGAGAATCCCGTAGATTTAAGTTGGTAAAAGCTATTTCATTCTTCTCCTGAAGAATGGGAGCTTGTAAGTACCTTTCTTCAAAATTACATGACCATGTATGCATTCTTTCTTCATGCTATTTTTTTAATGAAGTTTTCCAGTAGGGTAGGGAATGCTGACTACCAGCTGTGAGTTCACATTCCTTTCTTGGATTTGTATGGCAAGATCTATCATTGCCTTTTTTGCCTCTGCCTTTTAGTGTGGTGGATGTAGCTACATCTGTGTTGGATGCCTCCCAGTAAAACTGTTGCAGCATCTTTGTTTCTCTGACCTGCCTAGTGGATGAGGGGAAGGCTGTGGATGTTGTGGACTTTAGCAAAGCCTTTTATACTATCTTTTTTAGCATTCTCATGAAAAAAATGGCTGCTTCTCATGGCTTGGATGGACATAGACTTCAATGGGTAAAACACTGGCTGGATGGCTGAGCCCAGAGAGTGGTGGGGACTGGGGCTAAATCCAGCTGGCAGCCAGTCACCAGTGGTGTTCCCCAGGGCTCAGTACTGGGGTCTGTTCTGTTTTGTTCCTATATCAAGAATCCAGATGAGGGAAGGAGTGAAGGGCACCCTCAGTAAGTTTTCAGACAACATCAAGTTAGGTGGGAGTGTTGATCTGCTTGAAGGTCAGGAAGGCCTACATGGACCTGGACAGGCTGGATTGATTGGGTCAGGCCAGCAGGATGGGGTTCTACAAGGCCAAGTTCTGGGTCCTGCATTTTGGCCACAACAAGCCCAGGCAACACTCCAGATCTGGGGAAGAGTGGCTGGAAACCTGCTGGACAGAAAGGGACCTAGGGGCACTTACTGACAACTGGCTAAATATGAGCCAGCAGTATGCCCAGGTGGCCAAGAAGGCTTGTGACATCCTGGCTTGGATCAGCACTAGTGAGACCAGCAGGACTAGGGCAGAAGTAGTCCCCCTGTACTCCCTGCACTCTGGTGAGACCACATGTTGTGTACTGTGTTCAGTTTTGGGCCCCTCAATACTAGAAGGACGTGGAGGTTCTGGGATGTGTCAGGAGAAGGGCAGCTCAGCTGGGGAAGGGTCTAGAGCACAGTCTTCAGAGGGAGCAGCTGAGGGAAGGGTTTGTTTAGCCTATAGGTAAGGAGGCTCAGAGGGGACCTTATTCCTCCACATTTACCTAAAAGGAGGTTGTAGTCAGGTGGGTGTTGGTCTTTGTTCCAAGTAACAAGCGACAGGACAAGAGGAAATGGACTCGAGTTGTGCCAGGGGAGGTTTAGGTTGGATATCAGGAAAACATTGTTCACTGAGCGGGTTTGTCAAGCACTGGCCCAGGCTGCCCAGGGAAGTGGTGGAGTCCCCATCCCTGGAGGGATGTGAAAGTCATGTAGCTGTGGTGCTTGGAGACATGGTTTAGTGGTGGACTTGGCCGTGCGGGATTAATGGTTGGACTTGATGATCTGGAAGGTCTATTCCAAGCAGAATGATTCTATGATTCTGTATATGCCTGTGCTTATATTAGGTATGGTGTAATTTAAGTATTAAGCAGTAGGTACTGAAGTTCATAAAAACCAATTGTTTCCCATCCAGCTGTTAGGTAATTTTGCACTATAGGAGGAGAACATCTGTTATCTGGGTGGGGTAGTTTATGCTCTTTCATGGTTGTTTCATGCCTATCGTACTAGAAATAGGGTGATTTTATTTAAGCAGTCTTTAACAAGATGCTTGGATTTTCAGACTTTCCAGTCTACCATTATACTCCAAGAGCAGCTTGTAGAATTATTAAAGAGATACAGGGAGTCTTCAGTCAAAACATCTTCACTTATCAGTAATGTTTACAAGAGTACTTTGCATTGGTTTCACAAATGTGCCTTGACTTGTAACCTGAAGGTCACTTTCATATAGTCAGTATTGGACTGCATGAATATTTGTTTTCTCAAAGAACTTCAAACTTCCTACTTCTCCTAGAGTTAAAATATGTTCTCATTTGTTGTATATTTTCATCTTTCCCAGTCTGTGACAGCAGGTATTACAGTGACATGTAAATAACAAGACACTGTTATTTAACCGAATTTTTAGGTGAATACCCAGCTTTAAGTAACATCTGTGCCTCATAGTAGAACTACAGACCTATTTGTATATGAATCCCAGCATCTGACTTAACAGCCAGTGTGCCCTTTGTTGCCTTGGAAGGAAGAGCTGGATGGTTGAGAACCTAGATTGTGAGATACAAAATGTGCCTGTTCAGTTCATTTTCATGTAACAGGTGTCATGCTAGTAAGTTTTAGTTATGTCATCCCTTCCCTTGACACTTTGTTCTGCTTTGTTCCAGTCTGGTTTTGATTATAGAGTTGGATCTAGCTTCTGATAAAACACCCAGATGTGGATGTCTTTGTGTTTGCTTAGCCTTTTAAAGGCTTAAGATAGTCAGTGCAGTCATCATTAGAGCTTAGATAGTGTTTCACTATGACAGACAAGTGAAATCTCCTGTCTCATTTGAGATATCTTAGTAACTTCCACTTGCTTTATGGACAGGCAGAGGTTTCACAAAGGTCCTGTTGTATGCGTAGATATATTAGGATATCCTAGTCATTCAGATGACATTCCTGAGTAGCACTACATGTGTGTGTCTGACCAATTAACTCACCCTAGTGACTGTCCAGCTTATATTTCAA